AGAAAGACATTCATCACAAGAAAAGTTTTTGAAGAGGAAGTCAGATTATGTGCAGAAGCCGATTTCGAAAGTTGATCTTGATGGTATATGGAAGAAGATGATGGAACTAGGAAAGGTTTCACTTACATTCAATCCTTATGGTGGGAAAATGAGTGAGATTTCTGAGGTGGAAACACCGTTCCCGCATAGAGCTGGTAACATATATAAAATCCAGTACTCGGTAAGTTGGAAAGAGGAAAGTAATGATGTTGCGGATCGTTATTTAGATCGGATTCGAAAGCTTTATGATTACATGACTCCTTATGTGTCAAAGTTGCCTAGAAGTTCATATTTAAACTACAGAGATGTTGATTTAGGAGTCAATGGAGATGGGAATGTTGGTTATGAAGAAGCTAGTATTTGGGGTAAGAAGTATTTCAAAAGAAACTTTGATAGGCTTGTAGAGGTGAAGACTGCAATTGATCCAAGCAATTTTTTCAGATACGAACAAAGTATCCCTTCACTTGCATCTGAGATTAGTGTCATGGCAGAATAGAAGCAGCTATGTTTATGAAGGGGTATATCATTATTATAAAAGAAATGTATGTAGAAGCATGCCATTATTATGGAAAGCTAGTTCAGATCTAGATTGAAGTTTGTTACTATATTAGTATATTTGATTGGTTAGGAAATTATTTCCAATTGTATCTTCCCTGATTAAGGGGCTTTCTTTGTTCATTTGGGTTTTGAGCTGAGATGATTGATGATGTATGTATAGAATACGAATTTGGTCTTGTAACTAATACTATTAGGCCCGAGATTGCTGCATAATGAAAAATGATATTCCAATTTAGTTTATTGCAAGTTTTAGACAATTATATTTACTTCTTTTGCATAAAACATGTCTGCTCATGTTGTCTCATTTGGTTTCAAAAAATTATGGTGAAGGGTGATACAAGTTTTCCCCATTAACATATTGCCAATTGAAATAAGTTTTTTTTCTTCTTTTAATAAGTTCTCTCCATCGAAGATAATCAATCTTATTCAAGACGTATCACTGATATCAGTATAAAATGTGGATATTTCTCTGAGCCAAAATTCGAACCTTAATTCTGTCTGTTGTTAGAGGTTAATTCATTCTGCTAGACTCCAACCCATTGTTTTGGTCTTTCTTTAATAAATATTATTCTTAACAATATAGTTTTAGATATTTATTGTAAGTGCAGTAGTTTGAAAGATGCAAAATTCGTTTTCAAATGTATGGCAGGTAAGGATGTAATCTCCTGAAGCACCATGATTTTCCGGGTTGGCCCAAATTGGTTTCAGCACGGAAGCACTCAATTTGTTTGATTCCATGAAAGTCTCAGGTCCGAGACCTTACTACAATTCTATATTTGCGTGGAAGGCTCGGGTCCAAGATCTAACTGTATTATAATTCTTGGAGTTCTGTTTTTGTATTGATATAAAGGACTGAGAACGGTGACATATTTGTGCAATAGTTATCACAGTCCCACATTGGCTGGGTGTATTTTTATCACCTAGCAATAAGGTTATAAATATAAAACCTTTAGCACATGAAAAAATTGCCTTAAACTAATGAGTAAGGAAAACAAAGCAAACAGTGGGAGCTGTTTGCTGCATCTATCATTGTGATGCAATAATATTTGGAGGGGTTATAGGCTGGTCGTGTGTTGACGCTGTTACTTTGCAGAACTCACACGTGCGGGCCTCCCCACACCAATTAAGTAACAACTTATTTAATACTCTTTCTATATATTCTTTGTTTTATTAGCTTAGATAAATTAGAATAATCTTAAGTAATTAGTTTAGTTAAATTAGAATAACCATGAGTAAAGTCTAAACAGTATCATTATATTATGTTTATTTAATAATAATTAAGTGAAGAAATATATTTTTTAAAATTATATTTTAACTTATTTCAAACAAGTAGTACTATGTTTATATACATTAATAATTTCTAAGTGAATAAATATATTTTTTAAAAATTATATCGTTTAACTTATTTCAAATAAGTTAGTATTTCAAGGTTGTTTTTGTAACAATGAGTTCTTTAAGTTAAGTACGTTATTTTTTTTTAGACTTTTCGTTTCCAATAAGTTTATGCGGTGTAGATATAGATGAAATAATAATGAATAGAGGTGATGTGTCATGAACGGTTGTTGAATTGGATCTACTTTGTTGAGAACAAGCTTTCTCAAAATTCACTTATATTCATTGAACCTCTTAGGCATGACAAATGATAGGTATTTAACATTTTCATTCTCATCTGAATATTCACTACTAATGTCATCCTCACTCTCTAAGTCCTCAGTTGCATAGTCAGAATTTCAAAAATTACGACATACTTTCTTACATGTATTTATTTCCTTAATTTCAAGATCAATGACATCTTCATCAATTGATGCTTCATCACTTCTGATGGAAATTGAACTTCCTTCATTCACACATTTTTTCTTAGGTCTTCCCTTGTGCCTTTTGGAACTGACTTTTGACTTCTTTTTTATGGTCTCCCTCCCTTCCTCTTTCTATTATGAGTTGTTTCATCTGTCAGTATATCAATATTAGGTTGATCACTTCGGCCAACAGGTAATACTCATTCTCCTACCAATACTTCAGCAAATCCATCATTTAAACAAAATCTTTTTCTCTTAATGCATTGTCATCACTATCATCAGGTTGGGTCTCATTTGTTCCTCAGCTTGGTCCACACAATCCTCCACATTTTGTTCCTCATGCTAGTCCACACTTTCATCCACATTTTCTTTAACAGACCGGTCTCTACACACATCTACATTTTGTTCCTCAGCTTGGTCCACACAATCCTCCACATTTTGTTCCTCATGCTGGTTCATACTTTCATCCACATTTTCTTCAACATGCTGGTCCCCACACACATCCATATTCTGTTCATCAGGTTGGGCCTTACAATCCTCCACATTTTGATCCTCATGTTGGTCCATACTTTCATTCACGTTTTCTTCAACAGGCTGATCCACACACACTTCCACATTTTGTTCATCAGGCTAGTCCCCATAATCCTCCACATTTTGTTTTTAAGGTTGGGCCTTAATAGTTTGTGTTTCAGGTAGGGAAACAACTAAATCAGGTTGTTCAATGGGGTGGACTATGCATATGTCAATCTTTCCCTTAGTCTTGGACAAGTTTAGTGCTTCTATTGCATCAAAATCATCTTCCAGTGCCTTCAATGTTCCGGCAAAGTCATACCACATTTCTTGAACTCCTGGATACTTCATTTCTTTAACAACCCCCAATATTTCAAAGTAACTTCATCTGTCACCATCACACTTCCAGTTTGATGTGAGGGCAAAGTGCCTTAGTCTTTATTTTAATGATGTCAAAACATGTATTAGCTTGTACTTTATAATTTGGATGGTATCATTGCGTCTTAGCTTACATTTGTACTTTACAATGCACAAAATATTCCAAAATCATGTGTCTATACATATAGGAGCATCTCATATATGTCTTGTGTGTATTTGATCATGTTAGGTGACTTAGGTATGCATAAACATATCTTAGGTGGACCAAAGTATAAGCAAAATTTCATTTTTGGAAGTTTAGGGTGTTTGAGTCGACTCAACCCCTGCTCTGGTCGACTCATATAAGTTGATTTTCTATCCTTTTCTTTCGGGTGTGCTCGCGTCGACCCTTTGGTCGACTCATACTGTAAGTCTTTGTATTTTGTAATTTTTGGACAAGCTTGCATCGACGCATGGACTCTGTTCCGGTCGACGCACAACTTTAATTTTTTGCATAGTCTTGCTCTCGGGTGTGCTCAGGTCGGCCCCTTCAAGCTTAGGTCGACCCCTCGCTAAATTCCTGCTATTTTTTGGATTTGTCTCACTTCAAATTGCTGTTATATTTGTTAGTTGGTCAAGGCATCATATATATACATTTTGTCTCAGCATTTTAACATACAACAAGAAAAGTGAAAGATATGCACCAAATTGTTCTCATCATCTTCATCATCATTCTTGCATTTTCTCAACAATTACACATAACATTTTTTGTTGATCTTTTGCATCATTAAGGTGATAACGTCTAAACGTAGGATTATGAATCTCGTTTTGGGTTGAGATTTTGGTGGATTTTTCTTGAATAAAATCGTTAGGGTTTTGTCCTCCAAGATCTTGAGGATTTGTGAGATTTTTGCACAAATCTTTTCTTGGGTTCGTTCAATCAAGTAACGTTAACCGGAGGATTGTGGAAGGAAGATTTGAGTTCGAACGATGTATGAACGAAATCAGCCGAGTGAAAAGTTTGAAGACCGGTGGGGTTGTTCAGACAATTAGCGGTAACCGGAGGTTAGTCCTTTCTGTTAGAACCGTTAGTCAAAGTCAAATTTATGGTCTATTTAGCATACACGTGGCTCTGTTGTGGCATATGCTCATTATTCATGGTCTACGTGGTGCACTGATGTGGATCTACTTATTAAAAATGTTGTTTGCCAAACACGCTTCTTTGCCACTAGGCCAATTCCTTCTTAATAGTTAGTTAGTTTTACAAATTAAATATATCATCAATTTTTAAATCTCCATATTCTAATGCATCTTGAACAATAATTTAATGCTATTATTATTATTATTATTATTATTATTGTTATTATTTTTATTATTATTATTATTATTATTATTATTATAATTATAATAATAATAATAATAATAATAATAATTATTATTTTTTAATGATTATTATTATTATTATTATTATTATTATTATTATTATTATTATTATTATTATTATTATTATTATTATTATTATTATTATTATTGAAATGACAATTAAAAATAATAATTTTTTTCTTCTAAAATATGACAAACGAAGGGAGTAATAAATTGATTTATCCCTACTCATAACCCCCATAGTTTTAATAATACCTCCGTTTTAGTATATTATGGTAGTAGTGGAGGTGAATACAATTTTCATTTAAAAAAAACACTAATAAAGACAAGTTACGAAACTAGCAACGAACAGACCCGATGAAAGGTGTTCCAATGCGCTTAGTGTTGTTGGGAACAGCTTGGTCGCGTAGTTGTTCATGCGGTGCATTCCAACACAACATGGCTCCAGAAACTAGTTTACTGCTCAGCCACTGCTACAACCGAGACCTTCCCAGAGCCATGCAAACCTTAGATACCATGGAAAAACGCGGAGTCTGGGCTGATGCAATAGCTTATTCTGAGCTCATCAAGTGTTGTTTGGCTCATAAAGCTGTTAAAGAGGGTAAGCACGTTCATCACCATATATTCTCAAATGGGTATCAGCCAAAAACGTTCTTGGTCAATACTCTTCTTAATATGTATGTCAAATTCAATCTTTTGGAAGAAGCACAGATACTGTTTGATAAAATGCCTGAACGAAATGTTGTTTCTTGGACAACGATGATATCGGCTTACTCTTATGTTAAGCTAAATGATCGAGCTATGGAGCTTTTGATTTTTATGTTAAGAGATGGGATCTTGCCTAACATGTATACTTTCTCATCTGTTTTGAGAGCCTGTGAGAGGTTATGTGATCTCACACAGCTGCATTCTAGCATATTGAAAGTAGGATTGGAGTCTGATGTATTTGTTAGGAGTGCTCTTATTGATGCTTACTCGAAGTTGGGTGAGTTGTTGGAAGCACGGGGTGTTTTTCGTGAGATGGTGACCGGAGACTCTGTTGTTTGGAATTCCATTATTGCTGCTTTTGCTCAGCATAGTGATGGGGATGAAGCTTTATGCTTATACAAGAGCATGAGGAGAGCAGGGTTTTCAGCTGATCAGTCAACACTCACGAGTGTTTTGAGAGCGTGTACAAGTTTGTCGTTGTTGGAGTTAGGGAGACAGGCACATGTTCATGTGCTGAAGTTTGACCAAGATCTTATTCTTAACAATGCGCTTTTAGATATGTATTGTAAGTGTGGTAATATGGAAGATGCGAAATTCATTTTCAATCGGATGGCTGGTAAGGACGTAATCTCCTGGAGCACCATGATTGCTGGGTTGGCTCAAAATGGTTACAGTACAGAGGCACTCAATTTATTTGATTCCATGAAAGTCTCGGGTCCGAGACCAAACTATATTACAATTCTCGGGGTTCTGTTTGCGTGTAGTCATGCAGGGCTTGTAAATGAAGGTTGGTACTATTTTCGATCTATGAAGAACTTTTATGGGATTGATCCTGGAAGAGAACACTATTGTTGCATGCTTGATCTTCTTGGACGAGCAGGGAAGCTTGATGAAATGGTTACGTTGATTCATGAAATGACTTGCGAGCCGGATGTTGTGATGTGGAGGACTTTGCTTGATGCGTGCAGGGCCCATAGGAATTTGGATTTAGCCACATATGCTGCTAAGGAAATTACTAAGTTGGATCAACATGACACGGGAGCCTATGTTTTGTTATCTAACATTTATGCAAATTCAAAAAGGTGGGATGATGTTGCAGATGTTCGGAGGACCATGAGAGCAAGGGGGATAAGGAAAGAACCTGGATGTAGTTGGATTGAAGTCAATAACCAAATACATGCTTTTATTGTGGGAGATAAATCTCATCCTCAAATAGATGAGATCAATAGAAAGTTAAGCCAATATATTCGCAGGCTAACTGATGCTGGATATGTTCCTGACACAAATTTCGTGCTACAAGATCTTGGAGAAGAACAGAGTGAATACTCACTTCGACACCACAGTGAAAAACTGGCAATTGTTTTCGGTATAATAAGTTTTCCTAGGGAGAAAACTATTAGAATATGGAAGAACCTAAAGATCTGCGGAGATTGTCATATATTTGCGAAACTTGTAGCAAAACAAGAGCAGCGGCACATTGTAATTAGAGACCCTATTCGATATCATCATTTTCAAGATGGGGTCTGCTCATGTGGTGACTATTGGTAGCCAGATAAGATGCTCAAGACAAAATCTATGACTACCTTAGGCTCAAGACAGCATAGATGAATCCACAATCAGCTGATAAATATGACAGAAAGCTTGCAGCAGTGGCATTTCTAATAGTTAATATACCAGTGAGTTTAGATAAGCTTAATCTTTCTCGCTTTCCTTTATTTGGTTGTATATTGGCTCATGTAAAAGAAAAAGTAATCACAATTCTGACCCTAGCTTTTAGAAATTTAACACAAGCGTCAATATCTTTGTATTCTATACTTCATGATAAGGATAGGAGGACTAGATAACTGGAGGGAGAAATAGAGGAAAAGAATGGGAAGGAGATTTGGCCTGGGATACTGCCGAAGAGGACTGGAATTTCCACTTAGACACCAGAGAAAGTAGAAGAAAATGTTTCATAAGCCAAATCTGTATTAACCTTGATGTAGTCATTAAACACATTCCTGATGCATAGCGACCCTAATTAAAAAATATCCTACATGCTTACAGTTTATATTGATAGTCTTTAGACTATCACCTCAAGCTACTTAAGGAAAACAACCTTAAAGTTATCCAAACAAGATCCAGCCTAATGAAAGTTTGGTAAATCTTACAACTCACATTCTACTTATTTGGATGCTATGAGGCTGTTTGATGATGTTGTCGTGCGATGCAATTGAAACTGGGAGCTTAAGTTTTCCGTACTTTGAAACTCTATGTACCACAGTTCCAAACACACCATTAGATGGTGGAAACAGAGCTTGGAATGCAGGGGTTATGGAAGGCATTTAAGTGAGGAATGTAGTCTTTGATATGCGGACGGATAAAAACGTATGTTCAGTCTCACCTTTTCAAAGGGGGCAAGATGTATTTCCTTATTTAGCTTATATCCTGATCTATTGAATTTTAACTTGTTCACTGTTTTAACTTATCTACCAACTGTCCAAAAGCCATGCCTACTACATTTGGCTGGCTTGATGGAGCAAAATCTGATTGTTGCTGTCTAATGAAGCACGGACACCACCAACACGGCGACACTGATAATAATTTAAAAAAATCAATAAATTAAACGTAATCACAAGTGTTAATATAAGTGTCTGATATTGACATGAACATATTTTTCAGACATGAACACATTTTTCAGAGGTATCGGTACTACATAGTTATTGCCTACGGTTGTGTTAGGTAGTTGGGTTTGAGAGGGAAAAATGCAAAAGATGAGGTGGGTTACAAAGATACAGTTTTCCACTATATCCAAAAATATGCTTCTAGAAGTTTTTGTTCTATAAATGTGGGGATGGGGAAAATTGTTTTCCCATGATAAATGATAACGCTGAATATTGTGTATAGATCATCTACCCGGTCGCACGGTGTAGTTTAGTCACTAGTTGTAAATGTGTAATGTGAAATACTGTTTGAATAAACAATTTACTGCCTCGAGTTTCAAAAGGTATGACGAGGATTATGCCTCATTTCCATTTGCTCTTGAGATGCTGAACATAGCTTAGACTTTATATAAATATATTGTTGTTTTTGTATTTTTGAGATAATTAATTTCACTGAAGAGATAATTAATTAAGTCGCAAACTAGACTACTCTCTTTAGAAATTAGAATGTCTCATAATAATATTTAAAATTGTGTAAATAGACTATAAGCCACGAAGTCTTAATAATAAAACAATTAAATTTATAATATACAATATACTTTTGCAGTAAGATCACTTATAATAATTTTTAATAATGAAACATGTTTTCTAAAAACCAATTAATATCCATAGATATTTTCGAAGAGAAATAGTTTAGAAAAAAATCAAAAGATATTCAAAAAGTTAAACGAATGTTGTTGGATATGTTGTTTACCGTATATATATCTATGCATAAAGAAATCAAGAATAGAATTCTGAACTAATTAATTTTTGAGTCAATATCCTATGAATTCATATCTTATGAACCTAAACTTGAATGCAAGATGAGAATGAAAGTAAAAACGTCTCGAGTTTTTCATTGGAATCGTTGAAGGCTTGCGGGTATTTGATCTTCCGATTTGTAAAATATCTTATAATTTTTTGATTTTCTTTTAATGGGAATGAAGAGAGAAACCTGAGAAACCGTACTGATCATACTTTTTACAAATGTGGACCATAACTCATATAAATAACTCTCTTAAGGTTATTATTGAGTTCTCAATATTTTAATTTGACCATTTTTCAAATTAGAATTTGACTTATGATATCTAATAACCTTTATGACATCTACGCCTTTAGCATAAACTTAATATCAATTAGATCACTTTAGTTTTAACTAATTAAATAATGATCCTAATATATGTAATATTATATTTGTAGTCCAAAATTCTAATAATCTTCTACTGGTCACGTATGTAACTTTACACAACGTGTTAGACTTTATAAACTCAAAATTTGCTATAATATATATTTCATGCATATCTAAATAATCGCGCCCATCTGTTATACTAATACATAAAATCAAAGTGATTTTTATTATATCAATCATAACTAAACACATCTATAATTACTAATAGTGACATAACTAAATAAATAACTGAATTTCAAACTTTATAAACCAGAAAAAATAAAAATACATAGTACCAAACATAGAGATGTGGCTTGAACTATAGGGTTTTTAGAAGTGAATTGGGCTAAAAGGTGATGTCGATCTATTTGCAATCTATTCTATTATTTGACTACCCAAATTAATTATCCTCCTGGTAATCAATTCCCGCTAAAGATAATTAATAAAAAAAATTTAGCAACACACAATTTTGAAATGGAAATCAAATTCAAATGAAAATCCAATGAGAACAGGACATTAGTAAGATCGAAAATTTGCGAGAAACTAATGGTTGCCAACATAATTGACTATGACACAATTGACATTAGGGAGACTGACTTTAACATGTTTTATTTTGTAAAATGATCTAAATAAGAATAAGGATGAACATACATGATCATTGCCTCAAGTGTCCAAGATCCATGAACATATTTTATTAGCATGTTTAGAGATACTATTACATATTATACCTAATGTAGATTTCACAAGTGAATGACTTGTTGAAATTTGACTTGTGGTTGAAGTTTGAACATAGTTGGCCAAATTTGCTTATTGAAACAAGTTTAAAAATTGATTATATTGAACTTGAGAAATAGAAACATTGTTGTTACTCGTATAAGAAGTCATGATGTTTCATCAATTGGTTGAGATGTTTCATTATCCATCTAAATCTCATTTAGAACAAACTCGTGCTTATTAAAATTAGGATGTCCATGTTTTTTATAGTAAAAATATGTAGTATGACCATTTATATGGAAAAAGGTGCAAACTCTATTTGAAATCTGAGATGTTAAATGTACCTTTGTTTTTGAAATCGGATCTTTGTGCAATATTAATTAAAATATAATTATCTTCCATTACCAATAAATTTGTATGATTACTATCTTTTTGAATCAAAAGTGAGTAAATGCGATTAGTAAAGGGTGAAGGGTCCATGAATAAAACTCAAGTCTTCACAACAAAAAAAGTTTCATTCAAGCTTGTGAAGAATTGAATGGTTTGGTCTTCAAGTCAATGGTTTGGTCTTCAAGTCGGTATTCTCAAACAAGTTTCAGAGGCACACATCTAAATCTATAAACATAATTGCAAATAGGTAAAGCTTGATAGAAATTGAGTTATTTCCATAAACTTTTCAATTAAAGAAAATATTTTATCACATATCTTAGTTTTTTCTTGAGGTTGTTGATGGAAGAATGAAGAGTAGCAATTTGAACACGATAAACTTTTGAGATTCTTTTATAAAGATATTCCATATATCCAAAATATTTTCATGAATAACGATGGTTGAATCAATTTGATCTGAGACATAGTTAATGATCTATGAGTAAATGAGATGGTTACGTTGTTCTCATAGAGTACGATTAAAACCATTAGGTGCAATAGTTTAATGGATTCATTGATGAATTTTAACTTATTTTTGATTCACAAAGTTTGTTTCATAGATTTACTCCAAGCTAAATAGTTTGAACCATCTAAATTTGAATAGACATTGATTGTATTTAGATCTTCATTGTGATGAACATAGTAAGCTGATTTACTATCAACTTAATGATTCTAAGGTGCTACGTGTTAGTTGACATTCTGATTGATTTACTCCAGTCACCTCATAATCAATCATCCAACCAGGTCTTCTTTTATCACGCCGAGGACGAGGTTCTGAAGTTGATGTTGCTGGTGAGCGACTTCTTTTATCACGCCGAGGATGAGGTTCTGAAGTTGATGTTGCTGGTGAGCCAAGAGTCTGCACAGAATTATCAGCTGCTGTTTCTGCGGGCTGCTGTTGTGTGGACCGGTGCTGCACACTTGAAGTTTCAGGCTTCTCATCTTCAATTTCATCAAAATCCACCAGTTTCTCTTGATGCACAACAACACTCTTATTCGCTGCCCAAAAATTTTGTTCATCAAATATCACATCACGGCTAATTATAATCTTCTTGGTGTTAGGATTATAAAGCTTATATGCTTTTGACTGATCACTAATACCAAGAAAAATACACTTCACCCCCTTGTCTTCAAGTTTTGTTCTTCTCTGATCCGGGACATGAGCGTAGGCAACACACCCAAAAATTCTGAGGTGATTGACAGCTGGTTTGTTTCCACTCCATGCCTCCTCAGAAGTCATGTTTTGAACAGAAAAGGTCGAACTTCTATTCAAAATGTGGACGCTCCAATTCACTGCTTCAGGCCAAAAAGTTTTAGAGATTCCACTTCTATTTAGCAAACTTCGAACCATGTTCATAATAGTGCGATATTTCCGCTCACAAACACCATTTTGCTGAGGTGAATATGCTGCTGTAAGCTGCCTTTGAATTCCATGATTCTCGCAAAACTTTGCGAATTCATGCGACGTATACTCTCCACCACGATCTGTTCGCAGAACCGTAATCACACATCCACTTTCCTTTTCAACAGACACTTTAAATGTCTTGAAAACATCAAATGCTTCAGATTTTTCTTTCAAAAAATACACCCATGTTTTCCTACTGTAATCGTCAATGAAAGTAATGAAGTACCGTTTACCTCCATTCGAGATTGGATTTAGAGGGCCACAAATGTCCGAATGAACCACCTCTAGCACTTTCTTGGCTCTGATGGATTTTCCAGATGGAAAAGAGTCTCGATGCTGCTTGCTGACAGCACAATCTTCACAAATCTGAGTTGGAGGTGCGATTTCCGGAAGACCTGTCACCATATTTTTCTGCTGCAGTGTTTTAAATCCTCCAAAATTGAGATGACCATAGCGAAAATTCCATAACCATGTTGAGTCTTGAATCTTTGCTGAGAAACAAGAACCGGTGGATCTATGCAGATTTAACGGAAACAACCGATTATCTGTCATTTTAACTTGAGCAATCAACCCTAATTTTTCGTCTTGAACCCGACAAACACCATTCTTGATCAGAATCTCGTACCCCTTTTTCTTGAAGTTGTCCTAGACTAATCAAGTTGGTCTTCAATTCTGGGACAAAGAAGACATCAGAGATCTTGTGACTTTTATTTCCCTTGGCCTTGAAAATAATATTGCCCCTTCTAGCAACATTAATTTTGGAGTTGTCGGCGAATTTGACGGTGCTCAAAAAAGAATCATCCAAATATGAAAATATTGTCTTATCACCGCACATGTGATTGCTGCAGCCCGTATCCAAATACCACAGATTATCTAGAATTTCCTCGGTTACATTGCACACCATCAAGAGAGATTCCTCTTCTTCTCTTTCTGCAAAGTTGGTCCTTTCTCCATTTTGACAATTCAAGTAAGTTCTACATTCATTCTGATAATGGCCATATTTATGACAGCGATAGCACTCAACATTAGATTTTGGGCGACAATTGTTTGAATGATTACCTCCACGATAGCCCATTCGACCTCTTCCTCTTCCTGAGTTGTCTAAATTCTGGTGGTTGGCGGGATTGTTGCTATGGTTACTGCTACGACCATTATCGCCTCTACCGTAACCGCCTCGACCTCTTCCTCTGTCCCTGCCCCTGTCTCGGCCTCCTCTAAAATTAGAGGTATTTGAATAAGTCGAGGCTTTAAGTGCTTGCTCTTCTTTGTCTTGTTTGCTGATTTTATTCTCATGAACCAACAAGGAACTTTGCAATTCATCAATCGTGAGTGAATCGATATCTTTGGATTCTTCAATGGAGCAAACAACAAAATTGAACTTAGTTGTCATTGATCTAAGAATCTTCTCAATAATGGTCACATCATCCATCTTGTCTCCATGAATTCTCATTTTGTTGGCGATGATCATCGTTCTTCCAAAGAAATCTGTGACAGACTCATCCGACTTCATGCGTAAAGTCTCAAATTCACTCCGTAGGGCTTGAAGCTGCACTCGTCTTGCCCTAGCGTTCCCTTGAAATTTCTTCTTCATTGAGTCCCAAATCTGTTTGGAGGTTTCTTTGCTGAGAATCGTCTCCAAAGTTGCTCGATCTATGGCCTGAAACAAGTAGTTCTTGGCTTTAAGATCCTTGAGTTTCAGTGCCTCAAATTTTGCCTTCTGCGCATCTGTTTGAACTGCTCCCTTCACAGGCTCTGTAAATCCGGAGTCAACGACTTGCCAATATTCTTTGGATCTCAAGAAATTCTCCATTGACATGCTCCAATGGTCGTAATGACCATCAAAACGAGGAATTGCAGCCTGCACAAAATTCTCATTGGAAGATGCCATCGATGATGTTTTCGCTCAAATCTCACTGTGTTTCACTCAGATTTTTTTTCTAAATGAACCAGCTCTTGATACCACTGTTAACTTCGAGTGCAGAGGCACCGAAAACTGCTGTTTTATTTATTGATCAGTTAACATAACAAGAATTACAAACTGCTTAATAAAGCTTTAAGCCACTAACAATATATTCCTAAAATTCAGCACCCTACTACTTACTCAATCAAATATCCCTAAAGACTAGGACAAACTCAAAACAAATCAGTTACCAACATAAATAATATAATAAATTAATATTTCTAATACTACGCGTGGATGCATGTTGGATCGATGAAGATGATGATGCACAGAGTGCATAAACAATGAATAAGAACAAAGAAAACAATGAAGAACTAGTTTGAATAGATTTACAGATCAACAACAAATGATAAACGAAGAAAATTGAATGAGAAAATGATGAAGTTCATTGATTATTCTAAATACTATACTAAAAAACCAAAATTGAACTATCAATGAAATTTTTCTCATTAATTAGATCATAAAAAATGATTAATTATATACAAATTGCTCTAACTTGCACCATAAGCAACCGTACAAAAAATACATACAAATATCAGTTGTCAAACAGGTAATAACTATGTACAACCGTTCTAATTAACATTGAATTGATAAATTTCAAATTTTTATTGTATCATATTCAATCTCTCCTTTAGGATTGGAGAGAACTTGAATAGTTTTTTGTCTTCTGTTTGAGATTCTGTTTTCTTTTCCTCTTCGTTCTCCTTTGTATTGGGTTGGACATCCCTAGTGTCCTCTTCAATATAATTTTTGTTTATAAAAAAAACATTGATTTCATGTTTTAATATTTGTCATGACCTATTCTAACAATTAACATAATTAATTGCAAATCACACCATAATCTAATATTAATGACATTCCTTGTCAAGTAGGTTTGCATTTACTCGTCCCTTGTCCAATTGTCCCCACATACCAAGTTTGAAATAGGAAGAAGGTAAAAAAAATAATATAATAATAACAACAATGTTAAAAAAAAAGTCGACTTTTTTCTTTCTTTTTCTTTCATCTGTTCATAAAGCATACACAAATAAATTGTATATTATGCGGTTCTCATAAACATATTAAAGTTTGACGTGTCTAAATAATGCAACTTTTGAACATATTAAACAAATAACCGATAAAAACTTTGTAAGATAACCAAGTTTTCATCGACTTCGATCTAATAATAATAATAAAAGAATTTTTATTCCAGCATCTTGTATATTCTTTGGTATGATTTCTTGTAAAAACCAATTGATAATAATATTAATACTAAAATAAAACAACTTTTGATTACACTTACTATGTTGTTGTCATGTATGTACGAAGAAACAAACCGAGTTTTTTCCACAACAAGTAACACCAATAATAATGGAAAAAAAATCTAGCACTTTGGTTCATTCTTCTACAGTTTTTCTTCTTCTGTTTCTTCTTTTCCATCTCACTGTTTCTGAGGCATCATCACCAACAGTTGAATCAGTGTATACCTCATTCCTTCAGTGTCTAACTAATCACACAAACCCTTCAGACCAAATATCCAGCTTAGTCTTTTCACAAACCAACTCTTCTTTTACTTCTCTTCTTCAAGCTTACATTCGTAATGCTAGATTAAACAAAACTTCTACTCCAAAACCCTTACTAATCATCACTCCTCTGCAACAATCCCATGTCCAAACTAGCATACTTTGCTCCAAAACCATTGGAATTCAGCTCAAAATAAGGAGTGGTGGTCATGACTTTGAAGGTATCTCCTATGTCTCTAATATTCAACCTTTTATTATTCTTGACATGTTCAATTTCCGGAACATTACTGTTGATATACAAAACGAGGTTGCTGTGGTTCAGTCTGGTGCAATACTTGGTGAGGTTTATTATAGGATTTGGGAGATGAGTAAAGTTCATGGCTTTCCTGCTGGGGTTTGTCCTACTGTTGGGGTTGGGGGTCACTTGAGTGGTGGAGGGTATGGTAACATGATGAGAAAATTTGGGCTGTCTATTGATAATGTTGTTGATGCTGAAATTGTTGATGTTAATGGTAGGATTCTTGATAGGAAATCAATGGGGGAAGATCTTTTTTGGGCTATTAGAGGTGGTGGTGGAGCTAGTTTTGGTGTTATTTTATCATACAGTATTAAGTTGGTTCAGGTACCTGAAGTTGTTACTGTTTTTCGCATTGCGAAAGGTTTGGATAGTTTGGATCAGAATGTTACGGAGGTTGTGTTGCAGTGGCAGAAGGTTGCGCCGCGGATAGACGATAGGCTTTTCATGAGGCTGCTGATTCAGCCTGTGAGTTCTAAGGTTGTGAAAGGGGAGATAACTGTTAGAGTAACTGTTATGGCTTTGTTTCTTGGAGGTGCTGATGAAGTTGTTACACTATTGGGGAAGGAGTTTCCTTCTCTTGGTTTGAAGAAAGAAAATTGTTCTGAGATGAGTTGGATTGATTCTGTGCTTTGGTGGGCTAGTATTGGAAATGATTCGAAACCGGAAGTGCTTCTTGACAGGAACGTTGATTCGGCAAAGTTTCTCAAAAGGAAATCGGATTACGTTGAGAATCCAATTTCGAAAGATGGTTTGGAAGGGATATGGAAGAAGGTGATTGAGTTGGGAAAAGTAGGATTGGTTTTCAATCCTTACGGTGGAAAAATGAACGCGGTAGCTTCTGATGCTACCGCGTTTCCTCACCGCGCAGGAAACCTGTTCAAGATTCAGTATTCTGTGAATTGGGATGAACCAGGACTTGATGTAGAAAACAATTTTACAAATCAGGCTAGAATGCTTTATAGTTACATGACACCTTTTGTGTCCAATAGTCCAAGAAGAGCCTTCTTGAATTATAGGGACCTTGATATTGGTACCAACGATTTCGGAAATAATAGTTACGAACAAGGGCGTGTTTATGGAATGAAGTATTTCAATAGCAACTTTGAGAGGTTGGTCAAGATTAAGACTGAAGTCGATCCAGAAAACTTCTTCAGGAATGAACAAAGCATTCCAACTTCACCGGTTGCTGGTTTCAACTCGAGCACCGGTACATCAAGTGCTGACAAATTGTTACTTTCGAGCATGTGTAGGAAACTTATGGTAAAGGTGGTAATTGTATGGTTTCTCATCCTTGAGTTGTTCATGTGACTATTGTAATTATACACAGATTTAGATTAAAATATCCTTGAAGTTAGATAGAATCACATTCCTAGAGACAGAATCAAAGTGCAAACATTAAAGAAATACAATTATTACTGATATTGCTGTAGACATGTATTGCCCTTGAATTATTATATACTATTGTGAAATCTTTGTTCTGTGCTTGTTCTGAAATGTAAATATTCGGTGGGATATATGAGAATAAACTACACCTATAATCTAGAAAATGATCACTGTAGAAGAAACAATGACACATAAACTTGTAGCTTTTTTGGCATGTTAGCCAGATAGACTTGAATGAGCTGGAAAAACCAAAATTATCCCAACTCAAAATTATTTATTACACACTAAAAGCCATAAACTTGTGTGGTCCTATAAAGTCTTACCCTCAACAACTCTTTCATTTATGTGTCTTTACTTTATTGCCATTTTTAGAATTGCAATGGATAAATCAAAACTTCTGCAATTTTTTTCTGTTATAATTCTACTTGTTCTACATGTTTCTAATTCTCAAGCAGCCTCATCAAGTGAGTCCATTTATGTAACTTTTGTTCAATGTCTTAAAAGCCACACAACACCACAAGATGAAATTTCCAACATAGTCTATGCCCAAACCAATGCATCATACACCTCTATTTTTCAAGCCTTTGTTAGAAATACAAGGTTCAATACCCCCTCCACCACAAAACCATTACTTATCGTCACCCCGCAGCATGAAAACCATGTACAGGCCACTGTACTTTGCTCCAAAACAATTGGTCTTCATCTCAAAATTAGAAGCGGAGGCCATGATTTTGAAGGTATTTCGTATATCTCTGACTCGCCCTTTATTATCCTTGACATGTTTAATTTTCAGAATATCAGTGTTGATATACAAAATGAGATCGCTGTGGTTCAAACCGGTGCGAGTCTTGGACAAGTTTATTATAGGATATGGGAAAAGAGTAAAGTTCATGGCTTTCCTGCCGGTGTTTGTCCAACAGTTGGTGTTGGTGGACATTTGAGTGGGGGAGGTTATGGTAACATGATGAGAAAATATGGTTTGTCTATTGATAATGTAATTGATGCTAAAATTGTTGATGTCAATGGTAGAATTCTTGACAAGAAAACTATGGGAGAAGATCTGTTTTGGGCTATTCGAGGTGGTGGAGGAGCGAGTTTTGGTGTCATCTTATCATACACTGTTAAACTTGTTTCGGTACCAGAAAAGGTTACAGTTTTTACAGTTGACAAGAGTTTGGAGCAAAATGTTCTTGATATTATTTTCCAGTGGCAACAAGTTGCACCACGAACCGACGATAGGCTTTTCTTGAGACTACTTTTGCAGCCTGTGAATTCAAAGGTCGTGAAGGGTCAGAAAACCATAAGAACTTCAGTTCAAGCTTTGTTTCTTGGAGGTGCTGATGAACTTGTTATGATACTAGGGAAAGAGTTTCCTTTGTTGGGACTAAAGAAGGAAAATTGTTCTGAAATGAGTTGGATTGAAGCTGTGTTTAATTGGGCTAATTACAATGATGGTTCTTCTTTAAATGCACTTCTTGACAGAAACCATTACAAAGTGCATTCCAGCAAAAGAAAATCTGATTATGTAAAGTCACCAATTCCCAAAGATGGGTGGAAATGGATAATGAATAAGATAACTGAACTTGGAAAAGTTGAGCTTGATTTCAATCCTTATGGAGGAAAAATGAATGAGGTAACTTCTGATGCGACCGCGTTTCCTCACCGCGCAGGGAATCTGTATAAAATTCAATACACTGTGAGTTGGGGAGGATCAGAGGCTGGTTTAGAAAAGAGTTTTATAAGTCAGATAAGGATGATGTATAGTTACATGACACCATTTGTGTCAAAGAATCCAAGAAGTGCTTATTTGAATTATAGAGACCTTGATATTGGTATCAATAGTCATGGGAAGGATGAATATAATGAAGGAGTGGTTTATGGAAAGAAGTACTTTGGTGAAAATTTTGAAAGGTTGGTTAAGGTTAAGACTGAAGTTGATCCTGAAAACTTTCTTTGGAATGAACAAAGTATCCCAACATTGCCAAACAAGGCCTAGGCAACATAGCCGACAGAAAATAATTGAATAGGTCATTTGATCAACTTTTGCTACTTCTTCTGACCCTATGTGTATTAATGGAATTCTTTAATTTCATATTCAATGTTTAAAATATCAGTTAACTACTAATTATATGTTTTTATTTTGTTAGTATGTCAATTTATGTACCTACTCAACAACACTAATTCATTTGATCTTATCATAATTCCACAATTAGGCGTACTTAGATGGGAATAGTACTAGAGTTAGTTACCTTTTAGAAGTCATGATGCTGCAGCTCTTCTACTATTTTGTGGGGTCATGGAAGGGGTTTGAGGGATCATTACAATGGTCAATAGCAATCGGACAGAGAGAAATTTTACACTTAAGTTTTAGGACATTCCTTTGCGGGGTGAAGGTGAAGATACTGAAAACTCGATTTTATTTATTTTTATATTTTAAATATGTATTTTCTGACACACTTAATACACACAAATTAAAAAGGTGTTGCAAGTAAACTATATCCTATTTATGTAAAATATTAATAGAGATCTATTTCTGAAATCACTATTAGATGTCATTGATGGTGTATTTAGTTGATTGAGTTAGTTTATTTAATTCAGTGACAATTTCGGAGATGCATCTTCAGAAATGTCAACTAGAAAATTTAATAAAACACCACACTTACATGTTCTTCTTCATGATCAAACACCACTTTTTTCTATCAAAACTCTTAAAAAACTTCTTTCCATTTTCAATCAACTTTTGTACTCCAAAACAACATTTTTATATTTTATCACATCACAAGGATTTGGTTTTTGCATACGGAGATACATCTCCGAATTATTTTAAAGTTGAATTTGAATATTAAATCTTTTTTTGTGTTAAGCTAGGTTGTAAATATGATACACCAGGACATTTTTTCCTAAATCTACGGTGTATGTGAATGTTAAATTGGACAATGTCGAAGATGATATCAAATCAGTCGATATCGAGGTGGATGTTAAACCGATTGTTGTCAAGGTAGATGTTCGTGAACAATTTACAATTAAATATAAGTTTGTTAAGCATGAACATATGCTCCAATGCCGACAAACTTGGGTTTGGCGTTGTAATCAGAAAGTCTAATAATGGTTATAATAGAAGACATACATTTGTAACAATGAGGTGTGAAAGAAGTGACATTTACCAACAACCTATTCAGAAGTTGAAACATGATGACACCAAATCGAGAAAGTGTGATTGTCCTTTTAAGGTGCGCGAATACTATAAGGCGAATAATACACGAAATTTTAATATGAGTTTTGGTATACATAATCATTACTTGTGTCACAAGTTAGCTGGTCATCCCATTGTATATCGACTATCCTGAAAAGAAGAAAATTGTTTCTGACATGACATTGAATATGGTGCCACCCAAAAATATACTTGAAATGTTGAAACGCAAAAGACCTTAAAATGTCTCAAACATCAAGAAAATATACGATGTTCGTGTCGTAAACAACAAAACGATAAGAGAACCATGAACTGAAATGCAACAACTGTTGAAGCTTGTGGGTGATGATCACTATGTTTCTAGGTACAAAATGTGTGAGGATGGAGTCACTATTTGAGATATATTTTAGACTCAATGTGGTTTCATCAAGTTGCTTAACATGTTTTTCATGATGCTTATAATTGATTCAACATACAAAATAAACAATTATAGGCTTCCACTTCTAAAATTATCGGTGTTACTTCGACAGAGATGACGTTTTCAATGGGTTTTGCATTTTTAAAAGAAAAAAGTAGGACAACACTACATGGGCTTTAAAAGTGTGTAAGATTACATTAAAGGACCAAGAAAATATGCCAAAGGTCATTGTAACCGATCACGATACTACACTGATTAATTCAGTTACAAAGGTGTTTCCCACGTCCTATGTATTATTTTGTAGGCATCACATAACTAAAAATGTGAGAAACAAACTTAAACTTGTAGTAGGACAAAACAAATCAAGGGTGAAGAAGAGAAAATGGTCAAAGATGGTGTGATAGTGGAAAGAATAATGGATGTCTAGAATAATGTTATAAATTCTTTCATGGAATAGTTATGTGTAGAATCTGTCATACAATCCAGGAGGGTGTGTGTAAGATATCCAAATTTCTCGAAATATCTTGAGAGTGCAATTCTATGCCAGGTGAAGGAGAAAATTTTTTGTGCTTGGACCGATCAAGTTAGACACTTTGAAAATACAACAAATAACAGAGTTGAATTTGCACATGCAACACTGTAAAATTAGTTGAGAAATAATAAAGGTTATTTTTGTAAAGGTTAGAACTCTATGAACCAAATAATCTGAAATCAACATAATGAGATACATACATCTTTTGGTCGGAGAATTAGTGTATTATATTACCGATTCAAATGCAACATCCTTTATTCACAGTTGGTTGACAACATTTCTCAGACGAGATTGAATTTTATTTCTCACGGAGCTAAGGGAGAAAGAAAATAATATCAGATGGTTCAAAATATGGTTGTACACTTAAGAATATGTATGATCTTCCATGTGTTTATTTAACTGCAAAGAAAATGAAGGTTGCTACACCAGTACACATGGATGAAATTTACACACTAGAAAAGGCTCAAGTTTGATGATGATGATGTGATGAAGAATGACAAATCAAATGTATATATCACAACCAAATGGAAAGTGGTCCACGATAGCATTATGAAAGATGATGACAATGTAAAATCACGTTTCAAAGAGTTGTTGAGGAAGATTTCCTATCCAAAAACCATTGATTTGAAACCACCCTCGGGACAGGTTAAAATGAAGGGTACTCATGAAAAGGTCAAAATATTGTTTTCAATGGTGCACACATTAGCAAACAATCTCCCTCACCACCAATATAAAAATCATCCACATTGAAGATATGCCATTTTTTATGCACAAATACATTGAGCGGATTGTAAATGTTAATAGTGATGGAAACAACAGTTTTCGACCTATTTCAGGTTTTCTCGATAAACGAGAGAAGTACCAAACATTTTTCCTCCAATAACTTCTCCAAGAGTTAAAGGCGCGTAGAGAATCATACAGACCGCTATACGGGAAAGAAGAATATTTTAGTGCAATTTACAATGCTCTTATTCCCTGTGTTAGTGGTCCGACACCAATGGAAAAATAGACGTGCTTCCCTGAAATGAGTAATATTATAGTAAGTATTTATAATAATGTGTGTATTGATCTGAAAAGATATGGTTTCTCGGAAACATTTTTCCACTTCAGAGTAGCCACCTAAAAATCTATTAGAATGCATCATGTGTATTGGGTGGCTTTCAGAATCACAATATTTTGTTCATGTTTATTTGAAACCGGTGTGTCATATTCCAAAGACATCACCGGAGTGGAAAACAAATTCCACAAAAGAGGATGAAACTTGACCGGATCACTTTCTAGAAAGAATGGAAGAGTTTACAAAGTTGACCGAGATTGAAAGAGAATCAAAGAAGGAAAAGTTCAAGGCAACACCATCCATAAAAATAGATTTAGGTGATGACACATGTTTTTATGCTTTTTAGTTTTTATCTATGTATTGAGATGGCGACTCATTATTTGTATGTATTGTTGACATGATTTAATCTAAACACAATTTGACACATATGTAATTTATATTCAACATTATTTGTATAATAATTGGGGTCAATTTTAAGAAAATTTTATGTTTCAACCTATTAACAAGTTTGTCCCTGAATAACACAGGTTCTGTATGAACAATGGGTCAGTGAGGCGAGTCTGAAGATGTATTTCTGAATTATCCCCATTTTAACTACAAAAAATATCAAACATTCGGTATTTCAGAATGCATGTCCGTAGAAACCCTAATTAAAAAAAAATAGGTTGAGTCTATAAATGCATATCTGAAATATCCTCTGAGACATGATGAAGTTTCTAAGGTACACGATGATCTAAAATTTGTATAAATATGAGATATCTCATTTCATGTTGTTTACAAAAATACACCACACTAAAATGAGCATATCTTAACATGTCGCATTTGTCTACCTCAATGGCGCGAAGCCCTCACTTGAATTTAGGGTCACAAAGTACATTTTTCTTGTAGATCTGAAATCTATATTGAAAAATATCCTACAATACTCAGATGATCAAAGAGTTATGAAACTCAAATACCATTCACCATCGATTGACAATGAAGGGAAGATTCAAATTCAACAAGTTTGAGTTGAAGATAAATGAAAATTTAAGCATTATATGGAGTACATTTCACTATTACGAAACAAATTGTCTAATTGAAGTGGATGTAACGACCGCAAGATCGACCGAAAATATTCTAATGATGTTGCAACGTCTTGTTTGAGCTAATAGAGTGTATTCTGACAATGTATCTCTGTTAAACTCACTGAATTTTAAACTAAGGGTTTTTATGAAGATGCACCTTAGAATTCACCTTAGTATGGATACAGAGGTACATCTTCAAATATGTTTTTAGGGAACATGGAGTGGCTTACTCATCAAAGTGTTAAGGTGTGTGTAATATGAGTGCGTCCAGAGATGAATCTCTAGAATCTTGGAACTTTTGAAATGAAAAAAAAAATTTTAAATAAAAAAATACATCATGGACCATCCATAAAAATATACACACTATAAAGTACATAACAGAACCAATAGATAGGTCTATATTCACTCTTTGAGGTAGCCACTTCATCAATACATAATGACATGACACTTTAAATCATTATTGAGGTCAATCCTACAAACTAACACATTTATTAATCAAGTATCCACAAATACTAACGTGTTCACATAATTCCAAACTACATGGAGTGCAATCAAATTTGATAAGTACTACCACATATATCAAAGACAATTAGCCAACGAGATCATACTTATCAACTAATGAGCTTGTACAACACCTCAACAAAATTAAAAATTGTATGGAGTGTATTAGAGTCTAACCACTATATAATAGCACACTATCTAACTTAAACATAAAAGTATCTTTTGTAGTTAGAC